GTCACGCTTACCTCTACTTCAAGCCGCCACTAATGAGATGCCGGCGACCATGTCTTTTGTGCGTACCCCCTGTTGAGTGCTCTCGAGAGACCACTTCAGAGAATCGTTTGGCAGATTTTCAAAGCAGATTTGAAATCAGCATCAAAAAATACATTTAACAGTGTAGGTCTCATTTCAAATGGCCACTTCGACTTGAGATCCTTCCCTTGTTAGTTGTACGGTAGGACACTGAAAGATTATGGATTACGGATTGCGAGATTTATCTAGATTCAGAATGAAAGTTGGTGGTGCGGATCTGAATTATGTTGCTTGACCAAATTCCTCCGATAGCTTTCTATCATTTCTCTCCGGACCCAATATTTATGAACAGAGTTGTGAATTTTCAATCTTATCTCCGGCTACCTCGTTGAGCCCTGCCCTCTTTTGAGATTTTTTCTTCAATACTCTCTTTCTCTAGGTTCTAAAAGTTCCCGAGCACAGTAGTGAGTGTTTCTTCGTTATCCCGCCCACCTTAGCGTGTGTTCATCCTATTAACAAATTGTAGCCACTCTTTCTTCAATGAGCTATCACTTTTTTCGGATCCTGAAATGTTTTAAACAGTATCACTTGATTGATTTGATTCCATCCGAGTTTTTTATTAACCGGTTTTGGCGGCTCCGCTAACATTTCATTGATTTCGCCTTCTTCGGAGCCTAAAGAAGTCATAAACCGATGCCTATTCATCCGACCAGACGTACCCTTACCTCGCGACACCTTCGAGACCAGTTAAGCCATTTCATGGTTATTAGAAAGATGGAGTACCGTGCCTTCCAACCCAGCTCACATGGACGACGGCACGTATCACCTGACCAGAATTCAGTTTTCCCCCTCCCTCCCGCACTTTCGCCCCTCTAAGGTTAACCTTATAAAGAGGTTTAGGCTTTCTTCTTTCATTCTCTCCGGTAGGTATTTTTGTTCCGATTCAGAGCATGCTTCCGATCGCCGCGCGTTATTTCTGCAGAGGATGCTAGCGGGAGAATGGTATTTTCGTTGTTGGGATCCCTGAAAATGTTGAAATAGCTGAGCCTGACCTTTACATAAAATGAGTCAGCCTTCGGACGGCTTTCACATTCTGGCTCTCATAAGTTCAGATTGCCCTATGATAAGGTCGAGTCATCTGTCCATCTCTTCTTGTGTAACGTACTATGAAGCAATCGTCGATGTATGCATCTGCATTGGGGAGACATTCCAAAAAGAGCGTTTCTCTTATGAACATAAAAGCGATGGCCAAACTAGGCGACAGATTAGCCCAGTGAGCAATGCTCTAGCATTCGCGACCGGCATTTCAAACCACTTGGAAGCGTTGCAGTTCAGGCACTTCTAGAGAAGCACATTATTTGACCTACCAAAAGCCTATTCATGTTTGTAACGAAGCTCTTTAACATCTCATTCTTCTCAGTGTTACCGTTTCCAGTTTCTTCCACCTGGCTTACGCCCATGACTATTTTTACGGAGATTACGTAAAAAATCTGCCAAATGGGGCCGATTACGTATCAAATCTGCCACAGAGGCAGGAACTACAATTTTGTGAACACGCAAATTGCGGGTACTGATTCGACATTTTCAGCAATGTGACCAGTGTCTCCGTGATCAAAAGACTCGAGCTTTCTGCTACTTCTGTTCAGCCATCTCTAAACTGCCCACCTGTGCTCATTGCGGCAAGCAGAAATGCATGTCAAAAACAGGAGATTGCGTTATAAAGCATTCTGGAAAATTCACTACAGGTTGGTTTATGTTTCGCAAGCTGCAAATCTGTGGTAGAAAGTTCGAGAATAAATTGTGAGAGCTGATAAAGCTTCGCTTATTGCTTAAATGCGGGCTGAACATCCCAGAAATATATGCGCAGATGTGGTATACTGGTCATGAAAAAGCTAAGGGAATCCGAAAACAAGGGCAGATCTTCAATTTCGCATTTGGGCGCAATAGATTCATGGGGATAAAATATGGAGGAAATTACTTTTATTCTAGCGGCAAACTCTTTCGTCACTCACCAAAGAGGGGTAGTATACTTGGAACCTTGAATGTAGACTCATATTAATCGATCAAGTTTTGAATGCTATTCACGAATACGAATATGGGATTTAAAACTGCGAAATGGCTCTATTAACAAAGTTATGGGGGTTCGAAATTTGCATGAGAGTAGTGTCAATGGGGAATACGAAGTCGTATTCCCCATTGACGTTTGATACGGTAATCGTATTCACTTCGGTATCAAACGACGTGGTTGTGCACTCGCTTCACAGGTGGAAGAATCGGGTTTGCTTCCCGCCACCGTCGAGGTTTTGCATTGTGTTCTTTCGTTTCACTAGATACTTTGAAAACCTTTCCTGACGTTTGTTTGAGTCCACACCTTATTTCTGCTTTCATTTGCGCTTGCCGCACTTATTCAAGAATGAATAGGCCTACCTAATGATTTTATGATTCTCTTACACTTTAAATTAAAGAAACGCTCAATAGAAGGACGCCAGGGATGTATAGGGTGCCTGTAAGGAACTCAACTTTGTTGGAAAAACCTGAAAAAGATGTGTGAAGCACACACGTTATTGACAAACTTCACACCCTATACGTGCTGCTTCTCTTCAACCGGAGACAAAAGAAATATTTATCTAAAGATTGAACAACTACTCGCCAAGTTTGACACAGAAACCCGGATTTTCAACTGCACCCCCTGCTTGTATCGAAAGCGTTTTGAAAAATTTTAAAAAATCTTCAAAACTACAATTTCAGTGGTCAGAACGAGCACACACATCATGACCAAGGAACTCCTGGTCGACTGGATTTAGACTTGCCTTCTTGAGATTAGGGCTCACGAGGAAATGCAACTTATTGTAGACTCGTAGTCGCCCTTCTACTATGCCGACACCATCAGGTAAGCTGTGCTCGAGGATATGCAACGCGATTTACCATTGCATATGTGAAGCAATCCGGTTCATTTCTTTACAAGCACTTTATAAATGGCGTAGGGTTGAAGTCCACTATTTACTTGGCGATACTACGTCAATGATTTATTCATTGGAAGGCACCTTATACATCTCTGGCGTCATTCTGTTGATTGATTCTTCAACTTAAAGTAAAGCACCCATACAACCAACGTGTACATAAATCCATTCTTCCTTGAATACGTGCGACAAGCGCAAATGAAGGCAGAAATAAGGCGTTTACTAAACCAGATGTCAGAAAAATTTTTGAAAGTCTCTATTGAAACGAAAGAACACAATGCAAAAATCCTGACGATGGCGGAGAGCAAACCCACATTTTACGCCTGTCGTGCGCCATCACTTCCCCTATGCCACATCGGCGTTTGATATCGAAGCGGCGACTTCGCATTTCCAAATGACACTATTGCCAAGCAAATTTCGAGCCCCCAAAACTTTCTGTAGGAGAGCAATTTCACAGTTTCAATATCCATGTTTGTAAATAGCTTTCAAAACTCGGTTAATTTCTATGGGCCTCCATTCAAAGCTCCATGGTGAACGAACTACCTCTCCTTAGTGAGAACTTCTGTTTCCGTGATGAGGGAAGGCTCTCATTTACACTTGTGAATAGCACGAGTTCGTTTCTTGCGTATGCTTCGATTTTATTCTTTGCGATACAATTCTTCAAATATTGCGATAATAGTGATGCTACCACCGCTATGCTCAGATTGAGTGGGAAGCTTATGTAGAACTAGAGAAATCCGCAAATTGAAAGGGCAACAATATCAGTATGGTGCTGTCAGGCTTTGAAACAAGTTCTGCAGCTCGACCTGTTCTCATAGCTTCAACCAAGTTTTCTTAAAAAATCTCGAGTAGTAAAGAGTAGAGGATTCGGTGTTATAAGCTCTAGTACCGGATTCTCCAATCCGTTTTTTCTCATTCTTTTGAGAAGATTCCGGGGAGAGATTGCCTCAGTAGAAGAACTCTGGAGGATTTTCCTTTTCTTCAAGGGCCCGTCCAGTGAAAATGAAAAAAACAATAAAGATTCTCCCATACTGTAGGGATGAAACGATGGGTGAGAGGAGCTTTCAGAGGATAGAAAGGCGGACCGTTTACGAGTAGTCAAGTAATAATCGCGAGGTTTACGAAATATAGCTGTCTACGAAATGCAGAAGGCTTGCCAAGGCAGTCATGGCGAAGGCGAACTTCTGTATTTGGCGTAGGGGAGACCCTTCTTGAGAATGAGCAGAGCGTGGAACCGTGTTACACAATTCATGAAACTAGTGAAGGTCGTGAAAAACACCAGCAGCGCCGTTTCGAAGAAGCAGAAGTCAAGCGCAGCGGAGTTTTCGAACGACGAATAGCTCCGTACGATCAACTCACAAATAGAGACAGCTGCCTTCCTTATCGCACTCTGAGCAGAAAATGAGGTCCGATGATTCGCAAGGAAGGGCAGGTTGGTAGGTCCAAATGGTCTGCTCAAGTGTGCTTTGGCATGAGAGGCTATCGGAGGGGGCGTGATAGAACTAACTCCTGAACAGTAAGTACTGAAGAAAGTGGACCATGTTCGTGGAGAAGTGATGCTTTCAATCTTATCCGAGCAAAGGAAGGGCTGACGGGTTTCATGTGACGGATTTCAAAAACGATGGCGTCAGATGGACTGCGCAATAACATACAATTCTACCGTAATTTGGTCAACTTAGAATTGAGGAGGCTTTTCCCGTCCTTTCAAAAACTGTTTGATTCATGTTTGATAAGACTGCAACAGATGATCTGCAAAGCCATGCAATATTCGATATTTAGCCGATGCTCCGAAAAGCGCTACGATAACGTGGCGCTCTAGAACACCTGGTCTCTGGATGCTGGTGTAAGCAACCGTAAGCGCTCTGCACGACGTAGAAGAGGCAATAAACATCATGGGAGGTACATCAGCCCTTATCCATCCTCCTAACACCTGAGCTTACAACGGAAATTCGGGGATGGAAGGTTTAAGGCAGTTTTTTACGATAGTAACATCGTTCGTATAGCATATGATTCAGAAGAACTCCAGGACCTATTGCATGATTGGCCAACATAAAGGATAAAGTCTTGGGGCGTTAATCCATCCCGTCAGAGGGATGCACTCACGCATCCGACTTCTATTCAAAATCGTAGTGGCGATAGGATTGAGTATATGGCCCCTACAGTGACTTGCGGTGGTCACCCGATGTACAAGTCAGTATTTTATCCTCCCAGACGAGTCTGGATTTAATTAACCGACCCGGAGGGATGGAAAGCTTGGTTGGTTCAGGCTGGTATCGCTTCATGATTCGAATCCGTGACCGTGCATGTGTGAATTGCGCCACTTTCCACTACATCACCTCCGCCCAAGGATGAATTGGAGGAAATACACCAGTATCCTTTGTGATAGACCATATTTCAGAATGCTGAGAAGAAAAGGGAAAGCGCAGAGGACATGGTGATGTTGATAGAAATGGTTATTGACTTACACCCTTTCATTCGTTATAGTGAAGAGAATCTATTCTGTATTAGGGACGGATTCATCCTCTGCGAATTGTATCCGTTGACAATGCACGCGCTCAGAAGGGTGCTTATGATTTTTGAAAAACTTGTGATTGGAGGCAATCTGGTTTGAATTTTAAAATAAAGTAATCCGAGCGTTTAGGTATGGGTATGGTCGGTGCTGTTTGTGACTTTTGCGAAGCTTTCATATGCCATGGAAAGAAGTGCCTTACTACTCATGCTTGCTCGTGTCCCTTAAGGAATGCTGAATGCGTAGAATGTAAGCGAGGAGTATGGGATCACGGTGCGTTTCCTTAATATGTTCTTTTCACAAATTACAAGTGTCTGGCTGTGACCAACATTTAGTTCATAGTTCGCTCATCTGAATCGCCAACTGTACAGCTGACAATGCCGGTAGCTCGAATTAGACCAACATAATTTGTTTTAGTCAGAGGGAAAAATTCGCATTCGCCGCTTGTTCGATTGTGAAAGATAAATTTTCTATCGAACACGCAGTTCCTCCCTCAGTATGTGTTGGGGTTGCCTCTTGTTTTGCAGCTGTGGAGTTTTGTTCTACGCATAATGTTACAAAATCAGTAGTGTCGATAAACGAATGAAATAAGCATGTTGTAGGTGGTCGAATATACAACTGTGGTTTTTGTTCCAATTTCTTGTGCGAGGACGATCAATTCGAACATCAAGCGAGCTGTCAGCAGCTTGACAGCGAGAACTATAAGTGTACTTTTTTACCTACTTATTTTGAAGGTTATGTAGAAGGATTGCTGTGAAATAGGAGCAGTAGGCAGGGGTGAGTTGTGGGCAAAACTTCGGCCCTTATAAAGTGTTATAATTCATATTCGTCCATGAACTCTTCACGTCCCAATCTTTTTTCCAAGGTTCACTCTAGCACGAAAGTTATCATGCATCACCCACTCAAGTGACTCCTACCTCCTTTTGCTAATTTTCAGCCGTTACCAGTCCGCCACCAAATATCTTCGATCTTTTCGTAACCCAAATCGCCTACCTAATTGTAAAGGCCTATCGAAATTTGAACGCTTGCGTTTCGGGGAACGAGAGATATGATATGAATATTTTGTTCTGGTCGAACACACGCACACCTTCACGACAACGCACAATATACTTCGGCGACTACGTTGGAATTCGATGGCATTCCATGCGAAGGTGCTTCGAAAAGTCAACAAGTTCTGGCACGCATCTTTCTCATTTGGAGTTGGTGACCATTCAGCTCATGAGATATCCATACGCCATAACTCCAAATCTTACCGAGACGGTGCAAGTGAGCAGCCACGTGTCGTGATGGCTATTAAGCTCCTCTTCCACCTCGCGGGTAACAGAAAGTGGTGGTTATCAGCAGACCTGGTCACCCAGATCGTGGTTTTCCAGTCAAGTAAGAGTCGTAATATAAGAGACAGTGATGAAGGGTTCCTACTTGTCCAGCAGTTTTTATTGACGTTTTTCTGAACTCACAAAGAACAAGCAATTTGACTCGCTTTGATTCGAGAGCGATTCTTTCAACCATAGCCGTTGCGCAATGCTACGGCAGATATAGTTTGAAGAGTGCATTGACCTGCACCTGCATGTGTTTCCAATGAATGTTCAAAAGCAATCCCCAAGGATTTCACAACATGGAAATCAAAATGTGCAAAAACTTTCCCGACAACCTACATGTATATTTATTTACTTGTTTATAACCGTTCTCAATCGCTGCCACTCAAGCATTATTTTTTTGGAGATTTTGTGGGAATGGGAAGATCATTACCTTTTGTTACGATGTTTGTGGTGACTAAAGTATAGCCCTCCTTTGAAGTTCTTAAAGCTTTATTCAAATATTAAACGTTGATGTGATCTTACATTCTTTAACATTCGAGAACGTCTTGTTGTCAAGGTCTGTCGTGCAATCGTCTTGGCGCTTACACGTGCATGCGATGCAAGATCTGCTTTTGTGACGAGCACGTTCGACGTAAGGGAGTGGTGATCAGCAAATCACAGGAGATACCCTGCCCGAAATGCTCCTGTCCTGTCAAAGAAACCAAGGATTACAGTGTATCTGGTGAGAATGTCATTTGCACATCAATATTAGTTATTGTTAGGACCAGTTTAGTTTGAGATTAGTCTCAGCTAAAACTTATATTCATTACCAATCTAATCTTTTAGTACGGCGGCACGACTACGGTAGACAACAACGTCCAGGCTATGAAGGAGGGGATGACGACGATGATGATTACACTGCTGATTACGTTTTCAAGTATGAGTTTTACTTCTTGTGTGAGCCGAACCCGAGAAGAAACCAGCCTACCTTTGGACGGCTGACGTTCTTGAAATGCGCTGTTTGCCACACCCACTGAAATTCGTTGAAGCTTCCAAAGCTGTTCTGCATAGAAGGTGTTCCACGTGCTAACCAATACCTTGATTAATGCAGAAATCCAGGACCCAAATCTGACGTCAGGCAATCTTCTCCGAAGGGAGTTCGACGTTTGTTCGAAGTGCGTCACTGACCAGTCCTTGTTTGGTGTAGGAAGCGTTGTCACCATCATGACAAGGCGAAGCGTAGGCATTGACTTTGAGAACTGCTCCCCAAATCATTATAAAAAAGGGTAAAGTTTTTGGCGTCAATCAGTCCCGTCTGAGGGATGCACCCGCGCATTCGACCTCCAATCAGGATCGTAGTGGCATACTGTATGCGTATGTGGCCTATACAATGGCCCGTGGACAACCGATGTAGAAGTCAGTGCTTTTGTCCTCCCAGACGAGTCTGGTACCAATTCAGAGCCAAGCAAGTCTTCCACCCCGGAAGGATGGATGACTGTTTGGCTTAAGCGGGTAACGATCTGGGATTCGAACCCGTGACCATGCGTGTGTGAAGTGCGGCTTTTGTCACTCGACCGCCACTACACCACCTCCGCCTTCCTCAAATTATTATGCTGAAAAGCTACATCTTCAAATGTGCTCTGAAGCAATGAATCGCTACTAAATCAAAGTTAAATGCGTAGTGCATCCCAGAGAGCGATCGGTGACGGTGACAAACGGTTATCAGTTCTTTCCTTCGCAGTGGCAAAATGGTTGTAATTAGTACCGTCATTCTTTAAGCAAGGAGAGCGATGACGATGACGATGATGCTGACTACAGCGAAGAAGATGACAGCAGTGGCGATGACTACGACTCTGATGAGGATGATGTTGGTTCTCAAACGCGTCCAAGCAAGAGCTAACTTACCCAATGCTGTATCGATGGCGAAGCTTCTTTCTGGCAGGAGGCTACCTTCATTCATCATCGACCTTCATTCATCATCGAGAACTGAAAATCACCTGTGTTTCCTTCCATTTCCTGTAATAGTCATATGCCTCGATAGCTTTTTTATTCAGAGTTATGAGCAGGGAAAGAGAATTGTTCTTTGTTTTGCAAACATTCTTCATTGAGGTACACATATATTTAAATATACATATCTAATAAAATCAAAATTTATACAATCACTAGCGAGTCGTTACGAATACAGCGTATGTGCAAATAGATCACAGACAATTCTTTGCAAGGTTTTTAACATAGTAAAATTCATGTGAAGGCTAAAGACTGGAAGATTCTGAAATATTGGAGGAAAAATTTATAATTAATAACAACAATAGTACTTTTCTTGACAGGGGTCTGTTCTAATCGACTGCGAAGAGAATGGAAGCTGTACCAATCGAGATTAACTAGATTGAGCGTTTCGAGCATAATATTCCGAGATGCCAGTGGTGGCGGCTCATCGTTCTGAGAGTATGGTATGATATCGTGTGCTCTTAAGGAATACTCAGTAGATGATCACAGCTGTGGACTAGAACTTGAATTTTGGTATGAGAAAGATGTATTGAAAAATCTAATCAGGCGGCGAGACCCGTTTCTCTATTAACCTATCCTTATGAATATTCAGTCAACACATTTTTAAAGCAGATTTGGTCGGACTCGAAGAAAAAGTGAAAGATTCTGTTGGTTGCATTGCAGAAAGGCTGAGATATTAGTTGGCAAAGTGGAATCCGTCCTGAGTTGGATTAAATTTTACGCAAAAACGAGGTTCAGACGGTTTGTATCTTAGGATTCCTATGTTGGAGTTATTGTTTTAGAGTGGGTATGCGGTTGTAGGTTAGATTGTGGCATGGTTGGAGAAGAATTCTTTCAAGGAAGAACGTGAAACTTGGAGTTTCCATCGGAGGTATCGTTCGATGTATTCCAAATGTGTTGACATTTTCTGTCCCCAACTCTCCACTAACGATCGCACCTGAAATCATGACAACTTTGCTCCTTCCTCATTGTTAGTAATTGCCATCAGGCAGAAATATGAAGTAAGGCCTTCAAACAAGATCTATCAGCTTGCTTAAACACGAGTTCTTGTTGTTAAAATTCTTTTCAAATATTTCGACAGTGTGAAGAAAAAAAGATCCTGGAGTCAACGTAGAACATGAAAACAAACTAGGGCTGCTTCCATTTATTTTTCGAAAGGACTGTGATTATTACATTGCTTGAATGCGCACCTCATGAGGCTTTTAAAATTCGAGAGCGATGGCCTTCTTTTGTAATCATAATTACCAGATCAAAAAAGTAACCAGATGGATGAATCCCGACGGGCTCCGTAATATGTGTAATAACAGAGGGATTTCAATAAGCGTAACCTATGCAACATTACAGTTATGCTCGCTCCCAGTAATAAGAAAAACTTGTACTTTCACCAATTCCCAAGTTTATTCGATAATTTAGATCAGCCTAAGTTCGAGCGAGCATTGTCGCTTCACTGAAGTCTAATCTAGAGGCGCAATATGCGATGAGAGTAGTTTTCAGCATGGCTACTTTTAGAAGGGTTGTTACGGGCAGGCACAAAGTGAGGTAGAGCACGTTTACTGAAATGACGACCGGCGCTTGGATAAATGTTGTTGCGAAGGCACTATAGCTAATTCCTCTTCAATTACATCTGTCACTATAGCGCCTGTCGATGGTCTCGCTTCTTCGCCTTTAAGTTGGAATTTGCTAGAGCTTCAAGCGTAGTTGTCAGGTTAATAGTGTTGATGTTGAGTAGGACGAATATCTGCAGTAATTTCGAAATGTGTTTCCTTCATGAAATGGTTCATTTCCACGGTTGTACGAGGTTGCACCATTGAAAAATTCTAGGACGAGATGTCAGTCGCTAGAGGGCAGTGTGTGGAATCGGCTTCATAATATCTGCATCTGCCGATCCATATTTACGTCAGATGTGTTCCGCATTGCTTTGCGCCGGGAATTTTCCCCGCAAGCGCAACCGTGAGAGGACATTTGAAATGCTGTTTTCGTGAGCCTTGTCGCATCTTCAGAGAAGAATTGTTTTAAATCGCTATCGTCCCGGACTGTGCTTTGAAGAACGTTGAAACTGCACAATGTTGATGCCACAGGCATGTCATAGAAGCAAAACACCCATTTGTTGTGCTGTCGTGAATGGTGACGAACTTGGAGCATCCTTTAACGAGGGGCCATCCTACAGCCGGTGACCGCGGCTATAGGATGGTACCCGCGTGAAAAGATAATACAGAAAGATAAAGAAATTGGTGCCATTCTAGTCCTTACTACGAGTAACATAGGATAATGATGAGCAAGGGAACTTTCGACGAGATTGAATTTGCAATCCAGGGAGTATAAATTTTTTGACTCGTACCTGACTCAATTCTTCGAGTGTCCTGATGGAGTGAAGCAGTATTTTCGAGGCAGGACGTGGATCTACTTCGTCAACAGAGAACAGCAAGCTTCTTTCTTGCTTCGTCATTTTTCCAATTTGTGTCCAGAGAGCTTTTCGAAACTTTGCATTATAGTGCAAAGAAAAATCTGACTGAAAACAGATTGGTAGTTAGGATTATAAAGGGAGTGACTCAAAGTTGAAACAGCGATTGCTCAGTAGTAACGGTAGTTCACTAATCGGATGAAGTCAATGAACCTGCAGTGTGGAAGCAAAGATTGCTGCGTTTTTGGTGGCGACAATTTGTTTGGCAGCCAGTTTGACGACTCGATCACCATGAGAACAGCTTGCCAGCTGGACAGCAGTCGACCAATGAGTCCCTTTGCTTTTCAGCTGAGCTTCCAGCAGGGACTCCTGAAGGCAGCACACCCATAAAATGGAGTAATCGTTCATTGATTCGTTCAAATCTTTTTTTGTACTTGATATTTTGGTTAAAAGACAAACCTCACGAGTAGCATTGTGAGTGAAAAGGAAATGACACACTGCCGTCGCCTGCTTATGCACGTCATCATGAATCGAATTGGGGAAGACCATCCATCGTCGAGCCTGAAAGTAGTGCCGTTTTAGCAATACTACGAGATTAATGACAAAAAGAAATTCAACTGATTCATTGAAAAGCGACCAAAGCCATGCAGTAGTAAGAGAAAGTTCAATTGGTAGGCTCAGTATAAAAACAGTACCGTGAAGCAAGAAGCTTTGGAAATGTAACGATGAAGACTCACCTGATTTTGGTGATCGCATGTCGGTCGATTGGTCATACATCTCAGTTGGTAGAGCTTCGACAACCTTTGAAATGGAAACGTTTAATTTCAAACTTATGAAGAGAAATTTCCCTTATACCTCGTTGGATCAATGAGCCATAAAGCAGCGAGTTCGGTGTCAGTTTGACTATCATCTAGAAGTTTATCAAGCTGAGCGACTACTGGTGCCAAATACAATTGCAGTTCCGGAAGATCGACACCTCGAAATGAGTCGAAAAGACGATAGATCGCATTCATGCCTATCAGAGACACTCCTAGATCTTGCTCCTCAGCCAAGTATCTGAAATTTTCGAAAAAGCGATTTTCGTTATTGGCAGAAAGACTCAAATGCTGATTGGAAAGCCGTTACTGTTAGCATGTTGAGATAATGGCGTAATAATATCCGTCATATCCCTCCCCTCACCCATTCTGGTGGATCAACAATGTTGCTTTTCATTATCGCTAAGGATCATGACAAGTTGTTTGAACCTCCTGCATGGGCTCCCTTGTGACTGACGCATCCTCTACAGTGCCAGTGTAACTCGTCCGAAGATACACACGGTGCAATCCTTGGGCCTCTATAACCCCATAACTATGCTGTTTTCGACTCAACAGCGGCAGATATGGTCTAAGCGGGAACCTCGAACTCATCCTATGGGGAAATCTTAGAAACCATTCTTATCGTGGACGGCCGATTGTTTGAATTCTCAGATGTCTGCTCTATGGGGTACGTCCGGTCCTATCGTCTATGAAACTAGTTCACGCCGCACACATCGCGCGCGGAGCAGTTCATTGCGATTTCGATACGGACACGTTGGAATCGTGCAAAGGCTTTGGGGTTTGAATGCAACTCAGAACGCGTCATCGAGGACTGAATGACATCTGCTTGTAGAAAAAGCACAATGAAGTGGTTGTCGTGTCGAGTTTTTTTTAAATGTAGGAAACAGAGGGATCAAAAAATGAGGGAGTAAGGCGGTGAATTAAAGAAGAGTCCCCACCAAAAACGTGCAGAACCGCTACAGAAGTGAAGTTGAATTCAAACGTTCGCACACGTGTCCATCTCGAAATCGCAATGGGCTGCGCAGCACCCGACGTGTGCGGCGTCCCCCAGACCCATCGACGATGGGAGCGAAGCGCATGCCTGCTCTACTGTGAATGGTGCAGCCTCTTCAACCCCGCGAAAACTCGTCCAAAGAAAGGTTCAAGAGAAAAACTGTTTTTCTCGATTTTGAAGTTTCAAGACGAGTGAAAATAAATATTTCTCTGAGATATTCTACTTGAGAAAAATCTTACCCTAGTATATAGACGAACAAATGTGGCATATCGGACTGGGAGAGGAAAGTTTCAGCATCGACCAGGATTTGTATGCGAGACTTGGTCGGAATTTCTCGATAGTTCTGGTGTAGCTTAAACGATAACTCTCACGTCGTTTCAGAATAATGAGAAAAGATCAAAGCAGTTGCTTGATCATTTCGTACCAATCTAGCAACCATTTTCCAGTTCGTGATGTCGTAGTTTACACGGTAGGGATACACCCAATGTGGATTGGCTAGAAGTGGTTGGCTTGACGACAACTCGACATCTACGAATGTAACACTTCGGTTTTTCAGCCAAAATTCTCTCACAACCTGAAAACGGAGGGTTTCAACCAATTCTGGCTTTACTTCGAATGCATAAAATACAATTAAGGCATGTCTATGCACAAACTTGGTTCATAGCGGATTCACCTGTCCTTCAGTACTTTTCGGAGTCCCAAATGTGTAACTGAACGGAATGCTCCACAGATCACTCGGCTTCGGAGTGTTCCTAGGCCTTCTGAGCTCCTCCCGACGCCAGCCTATTGGGATTCTAGGCGACGGAGGTATGGCCGTTGCCCATGGCTAAAATGTAGGTATTCTATAGCTGCCTTGGAGATCTTCGCGAACGCTTTCAAACCTTGGGCGTTGTCTTCTTTCGGCCGTGTTTACGCCTCTTCTTTTGTTTTTCAACGATTTCCAGAGGGGGATTGTCAAAAAACGAGTCGTCGAATAGAACTGCTTCATGGCTTTCATCTCGTCGATAGCGCGACATTCCTTGTTCATGGATATTTATTTTTTCGACTCTGGAACACAAATTCTATTAGGGTCCGAAGTAGCACATACCGGCTGCATAATTGACGCTGTAGTGCCATGAATTTGACTCTACTCTTTTGGAGCTTATGTTCTAGAACCTAGTTGAAGGATTAAGTATACGATCGTCACATCACCTCGAAGTTTTTCGATGCCCTAATGGCCAGATGGCTGAAAAGATGAAAGAAAATTTCTTGAAGAAGCTTATAATCGAAGGAGTATGGGATAAGGTCAGAAGATTAAGGTTATGGAATAAGGTTTTGATCGCAGTGAAAGTCGTCAAAGTCAGGGTGCGCTCAGCGAAACCCCGTCCCATGATACGGTCATTTTTATGTACAAATTCCTCCAGAGTTTTTCATGTACTTCTCTGCGAAATTGTGTTATTTATAACTCGGCACAGTAACAGTCAACAACAGTGTACCTACACTGCTCCGTGCCGATCAAATTCGAAGAAAAATCTTTTTCACTCACCCCTGAGTGTCTGAAAGAAATACTTTGTGGTTGTGGTCGTCGCACTGTCTCTGGCTCACCGTAATCATACCATTCTCATAATTGCGACTGAAATTCAAGAAAATTACACGGAACTACTCGCAAAGCTACGAACGTTCTTGAGTACTAACATCATGTTTATGAAATGACTGTAGTACTCTACGCAAAGAAGTGAACTGTCTAGCTCCGCGTTGAAGTTGTCAATAATGATGCCCAAAAGACAGCCTCCCGTTAACGATCCCAACTCTTCACTGGTGAAAAGGCGAGTGATGAGGATTCTCTTGGCGTTGATCTATCTCATTACCGTAAGAGCGCATGCATTTTCCTTCCACTAGGAATCAAAGCGGTAGTGGGACTTTTAGAGAGCAACCAATCTTCAATTTATTGTATGTATACACCCAAACAAGTCTACTGTCAATTCATCGGCCCTAAAGTGATTAAAAGTTGGTTACGTTTTGGCATGTAATGGGCCTCAATTAACATCTTGGATTACACATGTTGGTGTGTCCCTTGGCAACCTTTGATCTTCACTAGAATGTATGAATGAGAACGAGAATGATTGAATGGTTCTACTTATTAGTCAGCAAGGAGCGGTTCCCATGATATTGAAAATGAATTGACACTTTTTAATTTAACATTTCGAAACCTCAAACTGGAAAAACCTACATGATGTTCAACTCAGGAATGCCTTCGTTCACCAACCATCCTTCCATAACCTGACTGAGCCGTTCATGTTCGGCTCCGTGATCAGCATAGGCAGGCATGCTCTCCCACAGCTCCTGTCGCGCTACCGATCTGTAGGCGTTTTTCCGAAGATACCTGAAAGTGTGTTAAAATGCGACCTTCTACTAATATATCCAAGTACGAACCACTTTCTTCAGCCTTTGTGTATATTACAAGATATAAAGGATAAAGGATAAAGTTTTTGGTGTTAATCAATCCCGTCCGAGGGATGCGCCCTGCACTCGACTTCCATTCAGAATCGTAGTGGTGTAATGAGTGCGTATGTGGCCTATACTATGACTTGCGGCGGCCAACCGATGTACAAGTCAGTGCTTTTCTCCTCCCTGACGAGCCTGGTACCAATTGGCCGACCCCGGAGAGATGGAAGACTTGGTTGGCCTAGGCGGGCATCGATCCTGGATTCGAACCCCTGACCGTGCGTGTGAGAAAGTGCGCCATTTGCCACTACACTACCTCCGCCCATTACAGAATATGGCTCCATCAAAAGGTTCCATGAGGGGCCCTCAATTAATTTGAGACTACTCACAACTTTGGTTACTTCAGAAATAGCATTGGAACAAGGAGAAAGAAGAAGAAGTTTGGCATTTGTCGGGAGGCGAAGAAGATGGGGGTGCTTTACCATGGATGGTGATGCTGTTTAACTAGTGAGGTTCTTATTCCAGTTTCGAGGGTCCTGTTTCAAAACCAAACAAAAAATGGGAAAGTGAGCAGTAGCCAAGGCGAATTGTTCATTGTGAAGTCACGCCTGTCAGTTGATGCTGTGTATTTTACGATCATTGTTGCGCCATTCTCTTTAGTTGCACAGAACCTTTTGACCAAGAGTTATAAGAGGAAGTGGATGGAAATACCGATGAAATACGAGATACGCCTTCAATTAAGGAGGCGACCGAGTTGTTAGTTGAGGGGCTGCTCTCTTCTCCCCGATAGGAGGGAGAATATAAGTTGGAACCAAGTAATGGATAGCATGAGCGGATTCGAATCGGCTTGCTGATAAGGAATTGAACATTTGGTATCTTTCGCATTCAATCTACACCACATTTGTTGCTCCTCGAGTGAAATGGAGCGCCAACACCGTTGTGGAGCGACAGTGTCTCTAGAGCCCTAGCTCTAGCTTTCTCGTCTTTTTGGAGATGTGCTACATCCCTTTGACTTTGCACGTCTGCAACAAATTGGCTATAACATGATATCTCGCTGTATCTCATGCGTCCCACCATAGNATGTACGTGACTTGAAAAGTTTCCGACCACTTACAACGTTCCTGTCGGAGATCAGATTTGCAGGTTGAAATCAAAAATATGATACCTGCGTACTCCAGCTCGGAATTCGAAATCGGAGACCAGATCGCGGATCATATTAGTCAGTATGGATCCTTTGGAGTAGAGATGAGTTCCATGGAATGACTGCTCCACCTCGCCTTCGGTTGTCAACGGACGGACCAATGCTGGCCGATCCAAAGTCGACTGAAAAAGCAATTCCGTAAAATTATCAAGTGAATTTGTCTTTGTTAGTAAAAGAAAAAACGGTTTGCACTCTCACTAATTACTCAAATAAAGCCGCTCATGTAGGGAATTATGTAAGGGGCACTGTTGGAAGGTTGGAACATACATGTATGTAGCAATCAAGAGTAGAGATCATCTATGTATATTGTTGGTCAAAGCGTTTTTTTTTCAGTTCGTTCAAAATTCTATACTATGTACAGTAGCGCTCAAAAGTCTTCGGTGAAATGCTGATTCAGTCATACTTCCCAGTCGTAACTCCTTTCCTACTGGATCTAATCATGCGAAATTTCTATATTTGGAGCGTGGATGTATTGTGAATATTTACCTTTATTAACCTGCAATCTGATCATGTTCCAAATATTCCAAAGAGCAAAAACTCAAAATCAATTGAAAATACAGATGATGGCCCTTCTAGAATCTCTTTCCTTTTTGCCATGTCTAAAGTGTACGAGCGGTAATGCCGAACACAATAGATGAGAAAAACGCTCATACGGTGCGAATATGTCTGCCGCAACAAACACCTTGCTCTATCTGTTGATATCGCAACTTTGCAGTCAAATAGTGTTGGGTAGGGTGAAATATGCTCTAGTTAAACATATCCAAATTTCGCGCGATTTGGTCCACTAAGAAAAAAGTTATGAACGAAAAAGTGCCAAAGCATTTCACCGTAGACTTTTGAGCGCTACTGTATATATCTAACTTGACAATTTCGGTAGTGGATGGTCTCATCTAGAGATTAACCTTAGTTGAATCCAGGCTATGGATTGAGCAATTCCGAAGAGATTTCAACAAGTGTGGGCGGACGTGGTGTAGTGGTAAGTGGCGCACTATCTCTCACTCATGGTCACGGGTTCAAACCTCGGATCGATATCCGCTAAGGCCATCCAAACCTCCTATTCCTCCGGGTTCGGTAAATTGCTACCGAACTCGTCTGGGAGGAGAAAACAGTGACTTGTACATCGGTTGGCCACCGCAAGTCATTGGGTAGGCCACATACGCAACTATTCTGAATGGAAATCGAGTGCGTGGGCGTATCCATCGGATATGATTGATTAACGCCCCAAGACTTTATCCTTTTAGACTCTTCAAATGATTCGTTTCCCAATCAGATGCTCGCTGACACCATGTTGGGAACAACCGTGTCAATACGTCAAAGAGCTGAGATTATCAGTTTTGATGGAAATCATCACCTGTTTACGAACGAGCTGACACAATCTCGTTAGATACTCGTTCTCAGCCAACTTAGGATGATCCCGTCGAAGCATGTCGTAAGTCATGTACGTCGCAAAGCCCTCATTCAGCCACAAGTCAGACCAATCTCGCATCGTCACGAGGTTGCCGAACCTGAGAATAATGGCATTCACTCTGAAAAGGTTGAAACACAAGAACAACTCCTTAGACGTTCTCCTCAAAAGGATATTCACTAGATTTGAGGTATTTCACTAAATGAATTCTCAGTTGAGCGTAATGCAGTCGTACAGGTCAGATATGCCTTTTCGAAGTTTGCATAATTCATATCTAATCAATGGGGCTGAGTTGAACACTAGAATGCAGGTGATCCATCGGCATACGAACACCACAACATCTGAATGGTAAAAGGCCTCATAAGTACAATGCTACAGCGCCGTGGGATCGTCACGCACTGGCAGAGCCTGTGGCCGTGAAATGCTTGCGAGTTCGTGGACAGGCCGTTCCTGCGAGCTAAAAGGCGCACTGGTGCGTTTGCGGAGTGAACAAGCCAGCCAGGCCATTCACCTACCTGGGTCGATTAGCTGGAACCAGACTCGTCTAGAAGGGTCAAAATTTTGACTTTCCAGCGGCTGGCCTGCTACGCTGTTCTACTCAGAGATTGAAGAACCGCGAAGCTACTTTTCTTCGTTCACGGTTCGAATTTTTTGACAGTTTCCCTTCGATCACTCTTCTTCCATTTAGAATTAAGGTTCACTTACCATTGATGAGTGATTTCATGAGTGACGATCTTCTCGATTCGATATTCATGGTAGAGACGGTCAACGGTCATATTTAAGCTATCTAAAAATGCAGAAAAAATACCCAAATCTAATGGAATACGTGAGTTGCCCCGATACTATTGCTAAAGTGAAACACTCTCGGGTAGCAAAAAAAAAGAACCAATCGTGAGCAAACCTTCGAGAGAGCTATCGAGTAGAAGCGACTGTTTGTCGAATACGATGAGCCCCCAGTTTTCCATGCCGCCCACAGGGAAGCTCCGTGCTGCGATAAAATCCATTTTTGGCAGCGGGTACGGCACCTAATCTTTCAAATTCATCACAAATCAACAGCCGAGTTGGAACACATACCTCCAGCTCATCCTCAAGCCTATCAAACATCGTTGGAGAGAAGTTTGCGGGAAATCGCGCCGAGTGGAAGTCTTCTGGATGGGTCCAAATAGACAGCGGCAAATTTCGCTGAGTTCTCATCTCCAGAGAAACGAATTCGCCTAAACATAAGGCGTTAAGTTGGAAATTTGGGAAATGAATGAATGATGAAGCTAATCTAATACCAATCGCAAAAGCAAGCAAGTAGGTCGACATTGGGGGCGTTTCCAGAAACGTAGTAAGGGTAGTGCCATCTCGCCGCCGTTTCTCTCCGCTTCGTGGCATGTTCGACAGTACAACAAACCTGGAGCCGTGCACCACAGAGATGTTGAACGTGGCCTGAAACCGTGAGCTGAACGTGGATGTGAACTGAAACAATCAAAATCCTTCCGATCCTTCTACTAGGGCAAGAAATTTTCCGAAAATGTCCTTCTGGTTCAGCTACCTGGTCACTGGATTACTTCAGTGGCGTCTGTGTACATACAGTATTATTGAACTTATCATTTTTTATCTTCAGCTGGTATCTGCGAATCTGAAGGCAGCGTTTGCAGCAACGCCTGCAGCTGAGTTTCATGCTGCCTACAACTAATTGAAGCCTCAGGTACTCTTGGCGTTGATCAGTCCCATCTGACGAATGAGCCGCGCATTCGACTCCCATTCAGGATCGTAGTGGCGCATTGAATGCGTATGTGGCCTACACAATGACCTGTGGTGACTAGCCTTCTCCTCAAAGACGACAAAACAATGCATTCATCCTCCTACACAAGTCTGGTGCCAATTTACTGACCCTTAGGGAATGGAAGGTTTTTTTTTTGCTCTAGGTGGACGTCGACCCGGGTTCTAGACCCGTGACCATGCGTGCGTGCTCCACGAGCCACTACACCACCTAAGCCCTTTGAACCACTACCGAATGATAAAAAGTCATATATCGTTCTGTTCAACTCAATCAGGAGATGGTCTAACTGCGAACCACTGAGCGAAACGATGAGATCAAAAGAAAATGTCGCTGGAAGGAACTGATTCACATAATTATTTGCTGACAGTATTTTCAGTAGGTTTACCTTGATTCCTGGATCGTCCCAGCATGGAACAAATGACCTCGCCATTGCTGGCTCGAACTTGGTTGTAAATGACGCCACTGCCGAATTGTTCGCCTGAAATTTGGAAGTTTTCTGAGAACTGCTGTCAATGAAGAACTAATACACTGGGTTTGATGTGATGTTCTACGTACAGAGTCAATTTCGTAGTAGCAATGTACACCTCCTTCCGGATCGCAAATGGTTATATTGTATTCGATCTCCAACAGATACCTGGAAGCACTCCATTTAGAGTTTTATACGAATGCTAACTCTGAGAAGTGCTAAAAGTAATGAGTTGGTTACCTTCCTCTCTTCAGTCGCTCTTTGAGAACAACACGGGCCAACTTCTTCTGGTCTTCTCTTCTCAATGTCTTTGGATAAACTCTTTTTCCTGAATTTTCCATTGTGACTAATACAGGTAGTTGGGAACTTTTCTCAATTGTACACGAACCTTCCTTTCTCAAGCGAATCCGATCAATATTTACTCGAGGACCAACGTGGAAGAGAATTTCGTCGTCGGTGGAGTTTCCGAAAGATTCCAGGTGGACCGTCAAGCTCCCGCGTATCATTTTCTGATCGAATTTGGTCATATCTAACTGAAAAGCTACATGTTCGGTTTTAAGCTGCAGCAAAGGTAAAAGGTGACAATTGGACTCTCCGCGATGGGCTTAAGCTAGTAACCGTTCCCAAAAATGAAACTGTATGTATGTAGCGGATACTAAATACTATACTAAAAGGGCGAAAAAGCTGCAATACTGCAGGCAGCTGACGTTCAGCGATTACAGTGAACGTTGGAATAAAAAATTTATTAGAAAATATTTATCAGATCGACCTCCTACACCCTGAAGTCAAAACGAATCTGAAAAGAACCAACAGTTCTGCTCTGCGTTTTTGAGCTACGCTTTCATTACTGAAGTGACGCTATTACATCTTAATGACGTGATTTATTGCAGACATCTTGCTTGCAGGACGTTACACAGAATTGTGAGAAAAGATATTTGCTTTGAATCACGACTTTTCTGCCTTGAGTTTGACAAAAGATTGCATCTGCACGGGTCTAATGTTTGGAATTGATACATTTCGCTAACAGGATAGATGTTCCATTTAGATAATCGTGAAATGTGCTTTCAAAGGGAAAAGTCCTACTTGTAGATCGTAATGAAGTGGCAGAGTGTGTGTCGGTAGTGGAACCAAAAGCACATCCTGCTTGCTCTTCCCTTGGCGCGCATGCAATTCCTCCATGAACTCATACGACTCGTATGCTGGTGGGACGACATCCAAAAGGGTGAAGTTTCGTCGCGGTGTGAGCTGAATTGAAGTGATATGCCAGTTTTTAAGTAAAGAAAAGATCTCGAGCATGTGCCAGCGTGAATGTAACAGAACCACCCGTTTATTTCATCCTCACGTCATCACTCATTGAACTCACCGGAATGAGACGAGCGTGTGGCACTAAAGTGGTTAGCGTTAAGGGTGTTAGTGCTGGTTTTTTTGATGTTGTCAGTAGAGTGATCGCTTCATCATCTTGATGAGGTTGGTTAGTAGTGGGTGGCGAAGAGGTTATGATGTAGATTAACTTAAAGTATCAAGTCAACTCAAAGGAACGGTCGGTGATAAAAGCAAAGATCTTTATAAATATTGTTACATACCTCGTCTGAAGTTGTATTCGGAGGCGCATTTTGCTCTGATAACCAATGGCCAATAAAAAAGGCTAAGAAGACGGCGAGTATGAAGACAGCATGAATGAGAAGCACCAGAATACAGCGACGGGCATAGTCCGGTTTACGATGTGAAACTGACGACAAGCCGGAGATCAGTGAATCTGGAACCATTGCATTGACCATAATTCCACGATAAAAGACGAGAGAACCGTGCCGATCTTCTGTTTTTAACGGGTCGAATAAAAAGAGTTTTCCGTAATTTCCGCATTCCCTTCAGCTCTCAAGCCCCAGTTGTTGTGGTCAGACTATTTCGCCAGCAGAACCTAGAGAAAAAAGGACTCCACAAGTCTCTTATAATAGACAAAATGCCCTCAAGTTGTCGCTGCCAGTAGAGTCAGCAGTAGAATCACGGCTGTGACAATAGACACGAAAGAGGAGTACCCTACAACATTATCCCAACCTGCAAGCCGTCTGCCTCTAGTATGAAAGGATTGTGTTCTATCTGAGCCCGAATGTCATCAATTCTGGAAGGAGACTATCGCTTACAGAGAGTGATCTGAACGGCCACGTTGGTAGTGAAGGGAGAGGCTTTAAGTTCACGGAGGTAAAGGAATAGGTGTCGGAAACGGAGTTCTTAATCCAGGAGCAGCAGAGGCGCACGAGCGCACGACCTAGCAATCTGCAGCTCTTACTTCGCGTAAGGGAAGTTCATTGTCAGAGGGTTTCCCACAGCGCTAATAGAGACGAACGAAAGTCAACCACTTATATGGAAATGGTTCCTTAAAACTGCAAAGGACACCGAGACATTGCTGTACAAAAAATTGACATCGTAGCAGACATAGCCTACCAAAAAAGCAAGGCCCACAAAGGAGTACAGAAGTCAGTTGTGGAAGTTGCACCAAGTTCAGAAGGAAGACTTCAAACGAAGGACACTGGAAGTTGGCCTCCCTGATCTCAGGGACCGATCAAACAAAATCGAAGGAGCACTGTTGAGATCGTCCTACAATGCGCTAAAGAACAGCAGATTAAGGCACAAGATGGATCCAAAGGGGACAAGGCAGCATTGTTCTCGAACGATGAAGTTCACCGAGGTGTAAAACAAAATAAGTGCACATACAAAGGCAACAACTAGCACCTACACTACAACTGGCAAAAAAAAAGATATCTAGAAGACCTATCCAAAGAAGTTGTAAGGGTCTCACCAATGATGCTGTAGCAAGGTCGCAATGTGTTCTTATATGGGCGCCTGTGGGAGAAGCTCGCAGTCGAGAAAGAGAAAAGTGTGCTCTTAGGCTGACAAGAGCCCGGAATTAAGAAATAGAGACAGCGCCATCTTGAAGATGCCAACTGAGGTCAAGCGCAGGTGGGAGGACTTACTTCTACAAACTTTTGACGAAGTATTCTTCTGCAACGGGAGCAAAAATAGATGCTGCTGTTGGTCTCATCGAAGAAAAGACACAGGATGATGTGCGTTGAGCAATTGGGCATATGTGATTCAGGAATTTGGGTAGGTACTAACGGCATGTCGAAGAAGGCACTCGAAAAGTCATGATCAAAAACCTCATACGGTTTTTAAGCCTAGAGGAAGTGTAGCAGATATATCGAGAAACAGCGCTATCCCTCCCATGTCCAAGCGGAAGAGATATGCGATCAGGTTCTAATTACCGTGGGACTAGGGTGACTGCGCATACTGCGAAACCGGTGACTAGTCGATTGAGCGGATTAAGTGAACTTGTCCCGATGTCATCTTTAAGCTTGAAAGGCCTACAACGAATGGGAATGCTAACTTCATGGTCAAAAAATGGTCAAAAAGATGGTGAAGAAGTACCAGAGAAAGTTACTTAGCCTTCACCAATTGGGAGAGGGTGTTCGACTGCCTAGCGCGACCAGTTATCTGGAGAGCGCTTCATTCCAGCAATCCTAATCTCCCTGCCCCTGGTCAAGGGCATGTACGATATGTCGAAGATGACCATACAAACTCTTCGCATGCTAATGTAGCATAGGTGTCACCATTTTGGTACCAAGTAACAACCCTAACCGGTTCCTTTGCCTACTTCCTAGTAGTGGATGTCATCATAAAAGATCTCATAGGTGGGCCACTGAAGAACATCTCATCCCCTACACTGATAAGATGGCTCTGACAGAGTGGAAAACTCTAGGATGAGCAACACAAATGGCAAAGCATTCTGGCAAAAAAGGAATACCAAGTTAACCGGCTTGGAGGATGGCAAGGAGCCAATTACGAACTGCTACGTTGAAGCCTTTAGAAGAGTAGAAGACTTCCGATACCTGAGGAATGTCCCACCCGCTGAGGGCAGCACGGGAAGGTTATAGAGGTTCGAATGACAATGACATGTATGAAAAGGAAGGGGACCAACGGCATCTTCTGTGATAGATGGCGATCCAAAGACGAATAGTGGAAGCTTAAGGTCAGGACTTGTAGAGTAAGGCGAAGTGGTCTACGGCAGCAATCGCCAGCTAGAAACTATGGTAAGCGACTTAACGTTGCAGAGGTGAGTATGTAAGACATGGCTACTGTAGGCTCTTAGAATCGGGACAGAAACGAGAATGGCAGGGCGCTGATGCGTACGCTATCCAACTGAAGGTGGAATAGCGGCCCTCGCAATGGTACTGACCAGCGCTGATTAGAACACTAGATCATCTGATAAAAGAAGCTTAGGAATTCAATTTTCAAAAGAAGCAACCAAGAGAAGCCTCGAAAAGAAAAGTGGAAGGAACGCGATCAGGAAAGACCCCTATAGTGACAAGTTAGCGCAAATGACGCACCAAATCGGTGAAAGGGGCTCGCATTATAAATGTTTTTTCTTACTGTTGAATGATCCCTAATAAGCCAAAACGAAGAAGCTCGGATTAATCTATGTCATGTAGTTAGATGTCTGGAAGCGACCGAAGTAAGATTGAAACTTCACATCACAGTAGACTTTGCTTGTCAGCTGAGAAACAGACATAGGAAGGACGGAGAATATGGGTATTTTCGCTCTCACTACTTCGATGCTTACTCGCCTCAGCTTACTGCCGACCAACCACTGTTGACCAGCACCACTTGAAATAATCCATATAAGTTGTAATTGTTCTACTCTACAATTTCAAAAAACAGAAAGGGACAAAGAACATCAATTCAGAGCAACCCAGCCAATTCCATGAAAGGGACTTTGTAACGTTTAATGTGCAGGCAAGGCCACCTAACCATCCAAAATTCTATCGGCCATCTGGATCTTGAAGGGTACATGACCATTTACACGTTAAAGAAATCGAAGTTGAGGATATGAATTCGAATCAAAATTAAGTGGAATGTAGTTGGTTGTTTTGAGGTCTCTTTCGAATCATTGAGGGCTAGAATGCAGCGAAGAAAGAGTAGCCAACTTCGCGAGCCCATAGTGGTGCTTAAGAACGTTTCTTAGCCGAGAAATATGTTTTTTAACCTATGCCTCAAGAGGAAGGGTGGTCCGGGGTGGATGAGCTGATTGGACGATTAGTTCTGATCCCATCTCAGTTTTTTGCACAAGATCACCCACTCCGAGGCTCCTCACCTTTTTCAAGGTCAGGTAAAAACACTATTCTTTCAGCTAAAATCATCTCTAAGCACAATTAAGGTTAGCCGTCCCTCCTTCTCTCGCCATTAATGATTCAAAAGACGCTGCCTATGTCCCATGATGCTCACTCAATAGATCGGTGGCTTCGCTTCCTGGGTGAGAATGTTATTCCAGCTGAAATGTGTTAGTTCACTTCTCAGCTCGAGTATCGACAAGGTAATTGCCCGTAATGTTCGACCCTCTAGGACAGTCCCCATGTGAGTCCACCGCTAGTACCCTTGTCCTTTAGCATAATATGTTTCGACAAACACGACCTCTAAGAATACATTGTCAAGCTGCCACGATATGCTAAGAGCCCTAGTACTATTAGGTAAAATGATGCCCGCTACTGCCATCAGAGCAGATCACGTGAATCCAAGAAATAGAGCACGACTCTGTAAAGGCTGTAAAGGATGGTCGCTAACAGAAACTGAGAGAATTCGGAAACCTTCTATATTCCATGACAACAATTTCTGACGCGAGAAAGGGGGCAGAAATCACGAAAGACACCATCACAAAGCAGGAATAAGGGTGCTGAGTCTAGCCTGAGGGAGGCGGTTTATCCTTGAAATAGGGCAATATCAGCAAAAGGAAAATGTCCCAGATCCCCGTTATGCAATTCTGAAAATCCTTTCTATTTCTGAACTGATTGCCGCCTACAATTGAGCACGGGAATCAGGAGGAGCGGAATTATCATTCACCTTTACTGCACATGCCTATTTGCGTAGTGAACTCGAAACACTAGTGGTGAGTGCCAGGGAAACATGATACCCATTTCATAGTTTGCTCTCATATTCGAACTACACAGACCAGTGTTTATCATTGAGAGGATGCGATTTCCATGGGAAACGTCATGCTTAATTGCTTACGAAGCAATTCGCAACTAGTCTACATATCTATCTGACCCTGCCAGAGCTTTGACGTCAATTGATGGTCTAGGTGTTCTGATATGAAGAAACTATTTATGGTCATCTGGACATGGGAAATATATGTACATGCATCTCAATAGCCGCTAGAAGAGCACATGAAAACTAAGATACCTATTTAAAACTATAGAATAACTCTAACGAATATGGGCCCGATGAGAGACCGAGAGCGGTTTGAGGTTCGAAAAAATCTCTCAGAACACTGAGACTTTACTTTCGTGCTCATAACTAAGGAAGTCAACAAGCTGACAAAGGCTGAAGGGCTAAAACAGCAAAGCAAATGCGGTTTGACTCAAAAGTTTGGTCCAGGATGAAGTTCAATGTAGCCAGCGGAACTTCGATAGCCTATCACAAGGGAATGCGCGCGCTAGAGGGGAGGATATTTGAAAGTTGAAGAGAGCGATTTTTTGGTGACTTACTTCTAGTGGCTTGGGTATTCACGAGAGAACAGAGAAAGGACTGAAGGACTGTACTGTATGGGCCAAAAAAATGCTGCCTTGGATCAAAAAACTGCTAAGGACATCTATCACCTCAAGCTTTGTTATAGAACGATGTCTCAGCATAAAGATGAGGTCAGGAAGAAAGGTCTCTTCAAACGTTATGATTCAACTGAATTAAAAAACGTCTGGATCACAAATACTCTTGGTTAGCCATTATGAAGAAA